ACTGTATTTACAAAAGTAAAGATATTCAAACCTGAAAGGAAAATATATAAGTTATTCTATCAATAAATACCATGAATTTGTTTATATCTTCATTATTTTATGAGTTATTAAACATGAAAATGGTTCCGGGACTTTATAAACACCCTATATTTTACTGAACATGACTCATTTCATTTATCTTATCATTATAATATCTGAGTTTTATTTTTTGATTTTTCTTTCAAATCTTTTTATGGAGTTTCCAGCAAGAATTAACCACAGTTCCAATCTATATTATGTTCAACTTTTACGTTGCAATATCCGCTTTTGTTTGATAAATGGAATAACCGTAAAAGATTATGGATTAAAAAATGCTGGAGTTAAAAAAAAAATGAGCATAGATTCAAAGATTTGTTGTCCACAACCCAAAAGCACAGAATTTATTTATACATCTACATATCTGGCAACGGGACTTGCGAAGCGAATATTTACAGATTATTTTATGCAGTCTAATAGATTTCACGGTTGTTTCTTCTTTAAGTGTTTTTTGAATCGGCATAAATTACCAATGAAATATATTTATTGTAGTCCATAATTTTTTGAATTTTCGTAATAAGTAAATTTAAAAAAGGATGTGAATGCAGATAATAATTTGTCTTATTAGCACACCCAGAAAGAAATGAAACTGAAACATCTATCACTTTTTCCTTACATTGATTTCTTTACGTGTCTGAATCAGGTAAAGAATCAAATTTTGTCCTGTTCTATATAAACAAGACAATTCTTCATTCATATTGAGAAAGACTGAGATATGGGTGCTCTTAATTTCTAGCATCCAATTTATAAAAATAGGGTTTATCTTTGAAATACCGGACTGAAATGTGCAATTTTTAAAATGAGAATATGTATGAGACAATGCTTCGCAGATTTATTCTTGGGGAGGGAGAGGAGGAAGTGCACTGACTCCTGCTAATCAATTTCTTTTTGTCTTTTTAGCTTTATTATTAAGCATTATTTCCTTCGCACTTACGCCATATGCAGTTCAACAGCAAAATTACAAATAAAGTGCCCTTGAGTGCTTTGCCATAATTAAATAAACATAAACCTAACATCTGAGTTAAGTTCAAATAAACAAACCTAAACCTAACTTCTGAGTTAAGTTTAAATACACAAATCTAAACCTAACTTCTGAGTTAAGTTCAAATAAACAAACCTAAACCTAACATCTGAGTTAAGTTTAAATAAATTTCAAAGATTTAGTGTTAAAAAGCTTAGTGATGTTGGAAACTGGAAATGGACAAATCACGCTATTTTTACTTTATAATGGCACTTTAGAATCATACTGAATAACACTAAAGTATCTTGTTGGAAAACGGCGTCTACTGAGGACTGTATAAGGACTGAGGGAAAAAAGTCAAGACTTCGGCAGTTTTTTGGAATGAAGATTTTGAAGTGGAAAGTGAAGGAAAAAAAATTCTGTTTCCTAAATTAATAATATCAGTTTACGTTGTGTGGTGTTATCCCCATTCGTCAGCAGCATTCGAAAGAATGTGTCAAACATTAACAAGAATCAAATCAGAAATCAACTACAAACGCTCTTAAAGAATTATTCATTCTGGGGAAAAAAATTAAAACATTCATTATCGACAAGTGTTATTACTTATTAATACAGTGAGCGGAGAGCCGATATTGCTGTTTTTTTTCTGTTCAGGCGACAGCGAGAAAACACTAGGGAATGGTTCTACTTTTTTGTTTTTCGTTCGGACTCAGATAACAGCGCAGCCAATGCACACGTATATGAATGGCAAAAAGGCGACTTTCTGAAAACGATTAGTTAGAAAAAAAGACACGAAAGTGTAAAGACGATTTGAGAAAAGAATTTTTCTTTTTCTTTTTTTTTCTTTCTTTCTTTTTCTTTTCTTTTCTTTTTTTTTTTTTTTTTTTTTTTTTTTTTTGAGAGTTATCTATTACCCATAAGACCGAAAATGTTCGAAAGAGGAGATGATAGAGAAACGTCGAGTGAATTATTTTCATCATCTAAAGCCTGTAACCGTCCAGTATTACGGCCGTCATTGATGGAAGATGATAATTTATTAGATCAGGCAATGGAACTTGACAATGAAGACAATGATAACAGCTGGGCATAAGTGGTAAAGAAACCAATGACTAAAATGAATTGTTTGATCCAAAAGGCTATAAGGTATTTCTCCAGCCTTCTTAGCGTGCCTTCGTGGTGTAGTGGTCTGCATGCTGGGCGCGTATTCCAGAGGTCCGTGGTTCGATTCCACGCGAAGGCGTTGCTCGTTTTTCACGTCTCATGCTTCCAAAAAATACCTAATGTCTCTACAGTGGCGCCCCGAACTAAAAGGGTGGTGGATGGTGAGTCTTTACACCCAGGATTTGGCGAACCAGTTACCCTTTAAAAGGTGGAATATATAAGGTATTTCTTCCGCCCTCTTAGCGTGCCTTCGTGGTGTAGTGGTCTGCATGCTGGGCACGTATTCCAGAGGTCCGTGGTACGATTCCCGGCAAAGGCGTTGTTTATTTTTCATAACTCCTGCTTCCAAAAAAATACCTAATGTTTTTTAAAGGCAATCAGCTAAATACTGTGCCTTTTAGCAGTGCCTATAGGGTAAAAAAAAACTAATAAAAATAAATTATTTTTAATAAATTAAAATTAATAATTTAAAAATAAGTTTCAATAAATTTCATTGAAATTAACTATATTCATTTTTCAACTTTCATACTGTCGGTCGCTAGTGGTCGACGCTGGCCAAATCGAAAGTTCATTGTTGACCCTAGGGACTTTGTGTTGGTTACACTTTGTAATTCAAATATGTTGAAAGCTAAATATTAAATATTCAAACCGAAATTTATTTTAAATAATTCTTATATGTTCAGTTGACTTGTATATAACTCATTTTGAATTCGTTTCAAATATATAAATAAATTAGGAGAACTTTCGAAATGTCACGAAACTTGAGAATAAGTAACTACAATCAATTCTGGTTTGTTTATTAATTTTTTCCTGCGACTTATATAGAAACAAAAGTACATGAAACCATCACCATCTTCATCAAGAACTTAGATACTCATCAATCTAATCTCAATTTTTTTTTTTTTTACACCTATTCATTTTCATTTTCAAATGCGGAAAACTGTTCAGATATAAATGTACTCGGAAAAAAATCTGTTATTTTATTGCAGAGATTTGTAATTGAGGATTCGTGATTTAACTTTTAACAAATATGGAAAAATATGTATCTTCAAATCTTTGAATAAAATTTCTAGCACAGTGTAAATTAATTAGCTCGATTTGAAGGTTTTTATGGGGCGTTACCTCACGTTTGTGTTGTTACCTATGCTCATTTGCCTGACAGTAACTTCAGCCCAAGGTCACGAAATACCTCGTGAAAGGAGCGCAAGATACGCCTGCCGTTGGCAACAGCCTTGAGTACCTTACAGCTGACAGTGCGAATTTAGCTCAGTTCCTTCCCCCCAGTTTTGATGGAGAGCACCCCGGGGGTAAATTAGAAAAAGGATGATACCTCTTTCTCCTTCCACCAAACCACACGATAGGACTTTTAGCTCGCCGCATATTTGGAGTGCCGCCATGCCGCACCGACACTATACATATTTGGAGTGCCGCCATGCCGCAACGACACTATACATTTACAAGAATCCATGCCTTCTCCGGGATTCGAACCCGGGGCCTTTGGCACACCAGTCACCGGCGCCAACCACTTTACCTATTGGGAGGCACATTTGTTTTTAATGGTAGCTAAAAATAATATAGAACTGAACTCCAAATCCTTAAAATCTTAAACGTTTTCTTCAAAGACTTGCCATAATAATGAATGTTATAATGACGTTAACTAATCTACAGGAAAAGTATTCGCTACCCTCGGAAAATATTTTCAGTGGCACAGTTTGAGGACGCAGAAGATTGGTTTAGTTTATTTTACTAAAAAGAGAAAGATAAAAGAAATGCCAGTGCATCCAGTAGATAAGTTTATTTATTAGTCCAAAAGGGGCTTTGCCCCTGAAGGACTTTTGTTTTCGATTTGCGAATTTGTATTGAAAACTTTATCACGTTTTTGTATTGAAAACTTTATCACGTTTATCACGGCTGTATCACGTTTCAAATCGTTGCTACTAAATACCGTCATCATGTATTATATCTGAAGAAATTAAATAATGAAAGAATCTGCATAAATGTATGCATGTTTCTCGCATTGTGATAAAACAACGGTACCTAGAGCCATTCAATTTTGAATGATGTAATCCTACTGCAAATGTGGTTATCTGAAAAGCCCAAATTTGAAATTTGGAATTTGCTTTATTATCGATTTCATATTTTGTTAAACTTTAACGAATTTTTGATTAACAAAAACAAGGATTTAAAAGCGAGTAATAGCAACACTCTACGGGGCGCGTACCTTTTTATCTCCAGCGCGCGGAATGGGTAATTCTAAAGATAGGCTCATTTTAAAATTATTTTGCGACATTGCTGTTGAACTAAATTTTATGGTTTAAGTGCAAAGAACATGATAATTTATAAATAAAGGTAACACACAAAACGTTAAAAAAAACGCCCCTTTGGACGTAATTTAAAATCTGAAACCTTTCAGATTTTTTCTGTATATTTTAAGCTGGGCTTATATCTGAGAGATATATTGTTTATTTATTTATTTTTAAAATTACCAAATTTTTTTTTAAATTTTCCGCTTGCAGCTGTTATAGGCGTTGGCCACTACTAAGGCCGGAAGCAGTGGTCAATTTATTAAAGAGTCACCTAATCGGTGGGTCACCGTTCCTTCCTACAAAGGGGGCAGACAATTTACATTCATGCCTTCTCTAAGATTCGAACCCGGGCCTTTTGGTACTGCAGTCTAAGTCATTAACCACTTTTCCATGTGGGCGGCTCCATTTAATAAATAGTTAACATGTATATTTTTTATGCTACTCGTGTCTGTGTTCATTGAACGGCCACTGTAACTAAAATTATCAGTAACACAAAATTATTCTCCAAATTTTATTAGCATGAGGGAATTTTTTTTTTTAATCTTGAGAAACTGCTAAGTAAATAATGCCAAAATATAGTCTTTTATGCGTGGTCATCATCTGGTACTTCCCAATAATCAGTGTCATCGTACAACTGCAGAGTCTTTGGAGGATCAAACGACGGACTGCGAATGATATAACCTGAAAAAGATAATCATAATAATGAATGAAATATAGCATTATTAAATACGTTAACGTTTATTATATTAACACTCAATCTTCTTTTCATAGAAAAGTCAGCAAAGAAAAGATTATCTGGAAAAGAGAGCAGATTCATTTGTCAGGTTATTGTTTTCCCCTTTATCAATGGAGTCGGATATTTATTATGTCCTAGGATTTTTGTTCTTAATAGAAAGCAAACCTAGTAGGGAAGATAGAAGAAACAAAGATCAAACTACCAATCCTAAAGAATCTTAGTAAATAAAGCTACTATTTTTCCTGATGGTGACAACCGTTTCTAGAATAATGATATCTCTCATGACATTTCGCCAAGAAAATTTTCCAAAACTCAGTTACTAAAATAAGAGTATTTTTTTAAGGGTGCGATAAACTTAATAGTTTTAAAAAGGAAAGCGAAACGAATTGTACATTTAAATGCTTTCCCCCTTTTGTAGTTAGTACAATGGTAAAAATAGCTAATAAACAAAAAAGTGTAAATCATAGTCAAGTTGCGCAATATTTTGTGGAGGTGGAACTAATATTTCGGATTGTCTTTGAATAAACTTCTAAGGTATTTGTCTCCGTCTTTTGAACATGCCTTCCTGGTGTAGTGATCAGCATGCTCGACGCGTATTCGAGAGGTCAGCAGTTCGAGTCTCGGTGAGGGCATTGCTCATTTTTCATCTCTCCTGCTTCGAAATAACCTAAAGTGTCTACAGAGGCGCAAGAAATAAAACGTCGAGAATGATCATTCTTCACCACCAGGATTTGGCGACTGGGTCCCTTAAAACCCAAATCGCCCTTTAAAAGGGGGAGTATATAAGGTATTTCTCCCGCCTTCTTAGCATGACTTCGAGGTGTAGTGGTCAGCACGCTCGACGCGTATTCGAGAGGTCCGTGGTTCGAGTTCCGGCAAGGGCATTGCTCATTTTTCATCTCTCCTGCTTCGAAATAACCTAATGTCTCTACAAACTGAACGACGTTAATAACACTTTAGGCGTGTTATTCATACACTGAAACGTGAGCTCCAAGAACTGCCATGTTATGTTTTTTTAACCCTTTCGCCGTCCTCTCCTGTCCGCGAAAATTTCCCCCCAGCGGCCGTCTGTTTTTCGTAGCATGTAATGTTGTTTTCTCTGTACATCATAACTTCCCATACATGACTTTCGTAGTGGATAAATGTTAATGGCTATTAAGTAAAATTATAGGGAAATAAAGCATAATGGAAAAGATAATAACATCTCTGCTTATTTCTAACAGCAGGATAATTTGGTAACATCTGATCCAGGCGGTCCATTCCTCCCATTTTGTTGTTGTAATCTTTTACAGTTATCGGGTTTTTTTTTACAGTTCTTTTCCGTGTTCCGACATCAATCATCGAATTATTATGGACTGTACTCGTCAAATGTATATCCTTCTTGTCTTTCCGATTCACAGCCTCATTTTTTCACTTTTTCTGCCGAGTAGACGTTGAAGCCATCTTTCACTGTCTTGTAACTTATGTAAAATGGCGCGAATATTCATAAAACCGGGGGCAAATTCAATTAGAAATAGAATGCCTGATTACTGCTACCCTTTAGGAGGTATTAAAACAAACAAAAATAAAATCCCAAACAAGTAACCATTTAGAAAGCGTTTTAAACGTTTAAAAGTTTTAAAATGTAGAAGAACGCTTGAGGCGCGTTACGGCTGCCCTGCGGAAGTTTCACTTGAACGCGCTAGACGCGTTACGAAGAGGTTAACCTCTCATCAAAAATTGCCAGAAGAAGAACCATATTAGCAGCCCATTAGCGGTCTTAGTATTAATGTACTTATTAGGATTTTATTAAACAACAATATTGCAGAAATAAATTAGTTTTGTGGGAACAGAATTCGGAAAGTTTCAAAAGATAAAAATAAAATTTTTGAAATCGAATGCACGTATCATATGAATGAGAAATATTTTGGAATTCTTCCTTCCAGCTTTTCCTATACAAAGAAAAGCGATGCCAGCTGCAACAGTTTCAGTTGAGTTCATTCATAATTAGTGCAATTTTCTGCTATTTATATCCTTATGCCTTATCTTATTTTCAGTGCCCGTTTTGCCGTAAGAGTTCCCGAGACTCAATTATATGTTTTGCCACAAAAAGAAGAAGAATTTATCACTAATCTGAAGAGGTGAAGCCGGTGTGATTAGCAACTGTCACAAAATGATTGTAGTAAGAGCTTGGCATCAAAGTTTCAGCTCAGATTTTTGCAGTCATCGGACTATTTATGCAAGACATAAAGCAAGAATTCTGGCAGTGCAACATTATGAAAAATATTTTTGTTATAAAAATTGTCTTATTCATAAAGCCTTGTTAAAAACGATTTTAAACTATGAAATTTTTTTTAAAAATCTGTTCATAACCTTTTCAAAGATATTAAAAATATTAACTCATAATGTTTTCAATGCTTTATTTCATTTCTGGTTTGTGTATCACATGACTTTACAGAAATTTTATTATATTATTATTATTAATTTACTTGCTTTTACTTACTTGCTTTATTATTAATTATTTACTTTAATTTAAATTATACCGTTTTCTTTCGTAGAAGAAAGAGGTTGTCCTCTCACCCATGAAATGTAAGTAATTCTTTTTTAAACAGCTGCCAATTTAAAGCTAAATTTTACTTAATTTTAAAACCCCATAATATTGTAAACATTTCAATGAATGTTTATGTCAGTTTTTGAGGTAAATAAGCGTTTCCAAAATTTTCGGAATAAAATAAATGTGTCACTTTGATGGGATTATTTTACTTTCCTAATAGTAATTTTTAATTTTGAAACCCTTTCTTTTATTCTGTTGTTTCCCACCTACAACTCCCTGCCCGAATGATTTTTCAGAATTTCGTTTTATGTAAATGAGGTAGAATCAGTATTTAATGGAAAGTTTCGGTCACTTCCGTAGAAGAGCTCAGAAGTTCTCAATACAGCGTGTTCTGCCTTTTGGCCACATCATTGCTTTAAGCCAAATCTTACTACGTTCGGATGTATTGCTACGTGCCTATTAGTATTCGCCGGTGGGGTTTAACCAAGGGCCAACTCGTAGTTATTTCTGTGCAGCTTCGGCTAAATTTTAGTTAACTATCGTTAGTTTAGTTCTTATTTTCTATCTTAAGTTAAAACCCAAGTGGAGGCTTTCTTGTAAGCCCGAGAGAGGCCAACTGTAAATATTCTTGAGTTTAAATAAAAAGGTATTTTAACCCTTTGTAAGATCCTGATTTTATAACAGTTATTTTAAAGGACCTTTCCTATCTCTTCTAGCTTCAGCTTACAATTCCTTACCAGAATGAGTTTTTAGAATCGCATTAAATGCAAATGAGAAAGACTAGTATTTAAGTCAAAGTGCCACTGACGAGAGAGAGAGAATCAGGATTCCTGAATAGCGGGCGTTTGCCTTTTGGCTACGTCTCTCTAAGGTCCCAATCACATTATGTTTCGGCTATGCGGAACTTGATGGCGAAAGGAACAATTCTCAGAACCCGCACAATTCCAGGAAACACACGTAGCTAGGTTACCATTCTCACTTACTAAAAAGGTTTGAACTCCAAACAGTAAGCGATTATCTCTCAAATCGGGATCACGTGATCCTTCAGAAGCAGAACTTTCGTCTGATTGGTTGTCAGGAATCCTTCCGTGTGAACCAGTGCTAACAGAATCTCGTTTCTCAGAAAAGTCCCGTTTAGCAAGGACTGTAACCATGTGTGATAACCTCTTAATACTACGCTCGGCCGTATTATGTGCCTTTAGATAGCTTCGCCAGCTAATTTAATATTACGGGACAACTAGTGTAGAATTTGTGTTAGCTTCGTCCAAATCTCTTTAGTTAGTCGTTAATTAGTTGTTATTTTTTACATTTTAGTAAGTTACGTTTAGTAAGTTTTACATTTTACATAAGCTAAGCCCAAGTGGAGGCTTTGTTGTACGCTCTGAGAAAGGGGCCATCTGTGAATCTTTATTTTGAGCAATAAAGGGTGGTTAACCCTTCTTGAGTTTAAATTTCTATTCTTGGACTTAAGCGATTATTCGTTTAATAGCTCACTAGGTTCTTCTACATTTAGTTAATAGATAAAAGTGAGGAAGACTACACCTTCTTTAGACTTGTTCTTGCAGTTTTAAGAAGTTAGCGATTAGTCGCTACACACTTCTCAAGTATTCTAGTTTCCAAGGGCAATCAATTTAACTAGAATCTTATAACTTATTCTGGAATTATTTATAAAAATTTCAACACATATTAATGAAAAATATAAGCTAAGTCTGTGGACACTGAGCAATATACATAATTAAACAATGCAAATGTTGGATATTAATGTTTAAGAGCAACTTATTTAAATCACAGTTTAAGGAAAATGTAAAGCAAATACTTCTGTAAAGGATCTCAGATATAACAATTGAAACTGTACAAATGTTCATACTATAGCTTATGCATACAAGTACACATACATAAGCATATAAACGTAAGTACTAAAGCTTGCGTTACCTGTAATGATTCCACCAGAAACTGCGATACTTATCGTTGTGGCCAGCGCTTCAAGCTGAGCATATGCCTGACTTGCTTCCGACCAATTATCACCTGGTTCGATTCCACCGAGGATGAGTTGTAACCGACTTAAATCTGTACTATTTATAAGAGGTGATCGGGCAGGATATAGATGATACAAACTGAAACAGACATCGTAATAAAGATATTAATTTAATTTTGTACGGGGGTTAACCTTCTTATGTTGTTAAAATGTAGCATACACCTAAGGTGCTCGGGTCAAAAATGACCCAAGGTGTAATTTTCGATGTTATTGCACTATCACCACATTTTATCAATATTAATAATGTAATTAATTATTCAGCAGTGATTTTATTTATCAATTTCTATATTTACATGTAGTGTTACATTCCTTAAAGTAAAATTTTTTATAACTAGAAGGGAGTATGAACCTGTCCACACTTCAAATACTTTACAAAACAGTCAGTCATTTAAGAAAAGATCTGGTATAAGCAAAACGTTTTTTCCTGTAATTTATACATTTTTCGATGCTTCAGGTTGTCTTGTGTTTCGAATACCCACATCCAATTCTCAGGCATAAATTGCTCTTGGCAGATGTTTCCTTCCTTCAATGTGGTTGGTAACCAAAGTCAAGCCAAGCTTCTAAATGAAGATCCTCTTCTGATTTCATCTTCTATGCTGGATTGATCTTGATGAACAGTACGGATGCATTATAAGTAGAAATATCTAGGCTGCTGGTGAAAACTATGATCGGTCAACTATGATCGGAAACTATGATCTATCTTCCTCCACAGCGATAGTGTGAGGACAGTTGAGCTAACGTGTCTACTCTTCCTCTGGTGTTGTTATAATCCAGAATTATTTGAATTATTTTTTTGCATGTGTTGTTTTCTATCATGATAAAGAGTGTTCTGGAGGACTTGCTTCTCTTCGAAATGTATAATTCAATTATCGTATCCTTGGTGAATTCAAATGTCGATATGTACTTTGGAGCCTATTTTACAAACAACTGGGAAGGAATTGTTAGCTTATTCTTTCTGATGATTCCAATCATTTTCAGTTTTGTTTTCAGAAGAAGTTATCCAAGGTCATACGACGTGAAAAAGTTATCAAATGTTACATTATGTCCTTTCAAGTTTTGAAAGAGATCATTGACAATCCCGAGACCTTGATTTCTCTCTGATGCAGAACCAGGCTGCTTTCCGGGGTACGGCTGCATATTCCAGACATAAGGTACCGTTGTCAGAAAGTACTCAAAATTTTATGCTGTAGTTGGCTGGTTTGCTGGGCATGTATTGGAGGAAAGGGCACTTTCCTCGGAGAGCTACTGCCTTCACAATAACATACATATTGGGGCTACGCAAAATTGGCAAAATTTCAATCCATCTCTTACAGAGTTTGTTATGTGTGCAAATCTGTCAGTTCTGCATCTTCTTGTCCCAGTTTGTCTGGCATCAAATCAAAGAACCTTCGATATCATTTTAAATTTCTCTAAGGACATAGTTGTCTTGAAGATACTACATATTACGGGATCCCAAAGACACTCTGTGGACTCATTGAGAGATTAATATTCCCCAGAAAGCAGCAAGAAGCCAATAAAGGAATACAAGTCAACGTTAGTCATATTCTTCCAACTGCCATCGAACAACGTTTCCTTCTATGTTACTATTTTTTAGTCTAGTCTGACATTCACTATTGTTGGAGGGGTAAAAAACACAAGAATGCACAGCATTCTTCAGTTCTCGACGCAATGTATCTGCTAGGTCCTGAAACCATGAAATTTTTTGCCTCACACCGACCACATGAGGTTTGTGGTTCTAATTTCCTTTTTTATAATCTTTGCTAAGTGGAGTCGCCGTATGGCTTTTCGACTGGTCAGATTTCCTATTTGTGTCGTCATTGGATGATAGTTCATTTTCAGAAATGTGTTCGTCGATTTTGGAAGCAACTTCGTTCTGACATTACTGTGATGCGGTGTTGGACAGTTGAAGAGAGAAGACTCACATACATGGCGGCCATGTTCAGAAAGACCTATCTTCCTCTTTCTAATCCTTTTTATACAATATTTTTCATGAAAAAACTACTAAAAGATGTTATTTAAATAACGACACTACAGAATAATACACATTGCACATCCTTTTAGAGTAGACTTTATGAATCCTTTTAGAATAGTCTGCCTCTTATAACCTCAAATCTTGCTCGAGTTTGGACTAGCATATCAGAAATTTCCGCATGGTATATCTTCTCGTAAGCATCTTTCAATATAAGTTCAGTGAAATTGTACTTTGCGAGCAATAACATTGGATTTTTTTCATAAAACTTTATCTTTGATTCTTGCAAATCTCCCGTTAATATCAACAGTTTCTTTTTTCCTCTAAATTTGGGTTTAAATATCAAATCTTTAATTCTTTGGATATGCACTTTATTTCTTTCAAATTTTTAATTCTTCCGAAAAATTTCTTTTCAGTATTTTTCTTGATCCGATAGGTTAGGTTTCTGCATCAGAAATTTCACTTGCACTTAATTCAGTTTGAATTCAGTCTTCTTTATTTTTGCTTCTCGTGTTAAATATGAATCTTCTAACATATTTTGTTATTCTGCACAGCTTTGTAACTGAACTATACTTATTCAAATCTAAGGGGTAATTTTTCCTTTTCTTATGTTCGCCAAATGTCGCATTCTGTGATATTTTAAACTTTAATCTTCTTTCTCCACAATCAAAGGATCAGTTTCACCTTTACTGTAAGGCCATTTTTCTTTAGGTTGTCGAAACCAGTTGGATCATTTACACCATTTTTCGTTGTTTATCAAATCTTCTTCTCTACATTCTCTCGATATTATATCTGTTGGATTATCTCGAGTGCTGCTATGTCTCCAGTCCGTTGACTTTGACCAATTCGGTTTCGATGAAAGGCTTTCAGTGTTTTGCTTTTCCACGGATCCAGCACAGAACTATGGTGGAATAGGTCTCCAAGAAGTAATTATCCCTCGTATGAAAAATGGGTTTCAATAAGTTTTGTTCCAATGTTCCAAATAATGTTGCCATCAACTCTAACCGTAGCAATGTTAACTTCTTCATTAGTGCTACTGTTGATTAAGATATAAGCCGACTCCAAAATTTTCGTCTAATGTTTCGCAGCGGACATATGCTATAGCTCTGTATGCTAATTCACTTGCATTGAAAAAGGAACTCATTAAGGTCTGTTTTGAAATAGCATTTATGTACTGACAAAGTTTCCAGTTTAGACATGTCCTTACACCAGTTCTCCTATTTAGCTTTCAGATCCTCACTCAGCTTTTCCTTCCATCTTACACCTCTCTCCCATTATTCTTGAAATAGAATCTTCACTCTAACAACAAATGGTGTAATTAACCCCGTAGAATCATAAATTTTTACACGCTGATCTTAAAACGCTTCTTTTTCGAGTTCTTTCTGTTCTCTAGGAATGCTAAAATAGAAGAAATATCAAAACTAATTAATCTGATTCGGTATTTCAAACAATACCCAATACCTTTAGTGAAACTATACAAATTTTAGAAATTGAATGATTTTCAAATCCTGTATCATTCCAGATTTTCAAAAGCTCCTCTGAATTAGTTCGCCATTTTTCAGATTCTTAGCGGTCTCTGATATGATGAATTCTGCGCTATCATTATGAAGAATTCTTTTCAGATCTTCTTGTAGTGTATACTAGCTTAAAAGTAATCCGCGGAATGTATGAATAAGGGTGCCATGACTATAATTTATGAACCTTGTCTTGTTTTCTTCCTCAGCGTTTCCGGCGGAAAACCCCTTATGGAATCCATACGCCTCAATGCCCGCTCGAATCGCATCTTGTATTCACGCTAAAGGTGGCCCATCAGGGTTACTATAAATCTTCATAATCAGTGTATTATAGATCCTCCAGTCATGTACAGTTTTTCCTGTAATAAATTATCATTTTGCCTTGAATTTGCAATTTCTTTGTAAGGTTTATGTTAATTAACCGCTTACTATAATTTGAATCTTCACTGCAACTTTTTTCCATTGTCCTCATCAAAATGCAAATTAGTTGTGCGAGTATTTAAGCCGTTCACCTGTATGTTTTAGAGCTTTTTCAACCTCGCTTATAGTCATGGCTTATCGCCAACTCTGGCAAAATTTATTCCGCCTTTAACCATTTTGATACCTTACGTTAAAAGCACGCCTTTAATTCTTTGACCCGTCTTAACTAGAGCATTTTGTGTAGTCTACAACTTTAAACTGGAATTTAACTTAAGTTATTTTAAACACCCGCAAACGGCGAAATTTTGTTTTGGAAGTACTATAAGTACTGCTTTCTGTTAAATTTAAAGTGTTAATAAAAATGTTATATTAATTTTATTTCAGACTGAAGCAATAACTCGCTTATCAGTCTAATAAGGTCTGAAGAACATTTATTTAAACTTTTACACACACACACACACACACACACACAAAAAAAAAAAAAAAAAAAAAAAAAAACCCTCTAAAACTTACATATCAATGCCACACTCACATACATAATATTTCTTTCGCTTCTGACAACTCTTTCTTGGTGCGCAAATTTTCATGACAATGAGTGTACATTTCCACCAGTTGATAAAACTGCTAAACGCTGCTAGTTTGTTAATTATAAAGTTTTGCAATCATTTCTATCAATTAAATATTCATCTCCATCGTCAAAAAAGAATAAATGATTCTACCAGAGTTTAATTAAATAAAGTATGCTGTACAGATAAATTTCGATTTTTGTTTCCAGAGATAAGAAAAAAGAATTTCAATCTATGTTTCTTAACATATTTTTGCAAAAATTTATAATAATGATCAGAAGAATGATTTGAAGATGCCTAGATGCATCTCTTTCATGTCCAATCTATTTTTTGAGATGGCAGATATTTGCTGGAATGCAAATGCACCTTCGACGCAGTTTCAGTTTTTCGATCCATTTAGATGCGAGCTGTTATCTTTCTCTTTAGTAACACGTGATAATATTCACAAAGGTGATTATGTTTAGTAGATTTTTGATTTAAGGAAGCAGTTATAATCGTTAGTTACATTTTTACTTCCTTGTACGAAGTAAAAAGGGGAAGTATTGTAATCGCGAAAAGTTTCAGGCAGCCTATTTTAACGAAAATATCCATTTTGACCGCTATCGAATGCAATTTAATGATGTTTTTGCGTGATATCTGTACGTAAGGACAGAATAAAAGACTCTTTTCCTCCAAAAAAATTATAAAACTGCTTTAAAATGAATTCTGAAGAGAATTTTTCGTGGCGTCTGTACGAACGTTTGTACGTGCGTACTATCTCGCATAACTCAAAAACGAGCAGCCTCAGAACATTGAAATTTTGTAAAAATGACTGATTATGTTCTTCTTATCTTCCGATTAAGGTTTTTATGCCTTTAGTAAATCTCTATGCAATATTTTTAGAATTAAAACAATTTTAAAGTTGTTTAAGTGCCGCTAAGCCTAATAACTTTTTTTTGATGGGCGGCCATTGCTTGTTTCCATTTGAAACAGTGGATTTTTTGCCAATCTAGAGAAACGTAGCTTCGCAGCAACAAAAATAACGCCTTCATTTTATTGCGAATTAAATCATGCTTAACCCTTTCTGAAATTTTTTCGAGGAAATAAGTGTTTAAGATTTACTTCGTAATTTTTAATACAGATATTTTGAGTTTTTATGTATTTTTGCCTTGTCGCGAAGTGAAAACTGGATTAATTGAATGAGAAATACTCAGTCGTCTGTGAAAAACTTTTTTTTTTTTTGTTTTCTTTGCTTAAATAATTCTTTTATACATCGTTCTAGTTTTATTATAATATTTGAATAGAACATGTGTCAACGATTAGATAATTCTTTAAATGATATAAATTGTTTGCATTCTGAGTTATAATATGAACGAAATAAGTGAACCTAGCGCCAGAGTGTCGCTATGGTAAACAAATAGAGTGAATTTTAAAGAATGCATTTATTCTATTGTGGTTTATGCGCTATCGGCGAAGTAGATTTGATTCAAACCAATAAGTTTAAACGAAATGAAAGAAAAAATGCGTATAATTCAATATTCCGTACAAGAAAGTCCTGTGGTGTACATATCAGATTTTTTTAAGGCATTCAGAGCGAACAGGAAGCAACGTAATGGATAAAAATCTCTCTTTTTGCCTTGATTTCGAGAGAATGGAATGTTCTACATGCAATGAAACCAACCAGCGTGCATTTTTGCTTTCTGAATAGGGTAATTTCAGATGAATAATAGTTGATAATAATTAAATTGTTGTTATGAGTTATTTTAAATGTAGTTATTTGAATAAATTTAAATTTACCTGACACCGTAGTTTGCTTCACTAGCCATAGATGCTACAACCGCGCTGACTAATCCAGCCAAGACACCAGGCATTCCATGAAGATTATTGACTCCACAAGTGTCATGGATGTAAAGCTTTTTTGATAAATAAGGCTAAGGATGTAAAAGCAGTGTTTAAACAACAAATCTCATAAATTTTGTTTTTAATTATGTATTTTTTGAATTAAATGATATTTTTTCATTTCAATGTCACTTGCACAAGCTGCAATAGATTAGGATGAAATGATTGAAAAATACCTGTCTACAAGTTAAGAAATCTTAAATAAAACAGAATTCGGAACTTGCGTGATTATTAAAAGAAAAATTTATCAATCTAGTAGTGGCAGCGGTTTTCAACCTTTCGGCTAACGCGTATCATCTAAATAAAAACTTAAGTACCACCGCTACAATTTACAATGATTATTTTTCAATTTCTCAATAGAAATATTAAAAAAAATATATTTTGCCATTCGCACAAACTATTGGCTATTTGTATTAAATATGAATACGTAAAAAATATACTAGATTATAAATGGGTTACCATTTTTATTATCAAAACTTAAGTTACAATACTTTGATTATAAAATTTAGTGCGAAATTTGGGCCTGTTTAAGAGAGACAAATTTCTTTGTGTCTTGTCTTATTTCACTTAGTTTTAACCGAAAATTAAGATCCACTTTTAATTTTTTTCTGTATGTAATTTTTAAATATAACATTGAAGAAAATCCTTCTTCACACAAATAGGTTGTGCAAAAAGGGAATAAAAATTGAATAGCTTTATTTGAAATGTCTTTTAAGTTATTTTTTGTTTCAGACAAAAGTTAACAAGATTCGAATCGTTATTTTCGAAATCTTCAGTTCGTGTTCGATCATAGGAAATTTCTATCATTTTTTTTTTCTACACGAGATTTTTACTTCCTTGTACGAAGTAAAAAGGAAGTATTGTAATCGCGAAAAGTTTCAGGCAGCATATTTCAACGAAAATATCCATTTTGACCGCTATCGAATGCAATTTAACGATATTTTTGCGTAATATCTGTACGTAAGGATAGAATAAAAGACTCATTTCCTCCAAAAAAAATTATAAAACTGCTTTAAAATTAATTCTGAAGAGAATTAATACGTACGTACGTACGTACGTATCTCGCATAACTCAAAAACGAGTAGCCTCAGGACGTTGAAATTTTGTATACAGGACTGCTATAACATGTAGATGTGCACCTCGTATTTTGGTTGCAATCGGCCGCACCAAACGTATATAAATATATTTATATATATATCCACTCTGTTACCCGGCTCAGTGATCTCACTTTCTTTACTCTTATATGTTTGTAAATTGTACATTTTTTGCTTTAAAAATGAGTGAATTATGTTGTTCGTGTCTTCCGGTTAAGGTTTTTATGCTTTAGTAAATCTGTAAACAATATTTTTAGAATTATCAACAATTTTAAAGTTGTTTAAGTGCCGCTAAGCCTTTTTTTTATGGCTGCCATTGATTGTTTACATTTGAAACAGCAGACTAGTGGATTTGTAGCCAATCTAGAGAAACTTAGCTTCGCAACAACAAGGATAACGCCTTCATTTATTATTGCCAATTAAATCATGCTTAATCCTTTCTGTAATTTTTTCGAGGAAATAAGTGTAAGATATACTTCGTAATTAATATAGATATTTTGAGTTTTTATGTATTTTTGCCTTCTCGTGAAGTGAGAACTGAATTAATTGAATGAGAAATTCTCAATCGTCTGTGAAAAACTGTTTCTTTTTGTTTTGTTTGCTTAATTTCTTTTATACATAGTTCTAGCTTTATTATAGTATTGGAATAGAACATGTGGGAACGATTAGATAATTCTTTAAATGATATAAATTTTGTGCATTCTGAGTTATAATATGAACGGAATATAATACTGTTAAGTAAACCTAGCGCCAGAGTGTCGCTATGGTAAACAAAGTGAATTTTAAAGAATGCATTTATTCTATTGCGGTTTATGCGCTGTCGGCGAAGTAGGTTTAATTCAATCTAATAAGTTTAAATGAAATGCAAGAAAAAATGCGTATAATTTAATGTTCCGTACAAGGAAGTCATGTGGTGTACACATCAGATTTTTTAATTTAATAGTTAAAAATACTTTTTCTTTGCTTACCTATTTTTCTCTTGCGTACCAGCGGTTGAGAACCCCTGGTCTAGTGCATAATTAGAAAAGTTTCTTCATAAATGAGAAATTAAAATCTAAAAACTATCTAAAAGTATTTTTTTTCTGTTTCTGATATTAATAACCACAGTAAAAATTAATGTTCTGTTAAGAGGACTTTCAAGAATATAATAATATATGGAAGTGTAAATGAAGGAAAAAGTACACTTATGTTATCGTGCTTATAATTTCTAGGGGAGCTTCATTATGCTTAGCTAGAGGAAGAAATCTTATTTAAGTATTTAACTTGTTTATCTGATTTTACGTGAAAAATCAGTTTCTCTCATTTACAACTTGGCCTTAAGAAAATCTTAAACGAGTGCATGGTTAATGACTCATAAATCTTTTGACACGCCTACATGTATGGACATACACTTATGAGATAAGCTTTGATCACACAAAGATATTCGAACAACAAATCTTTTCGGTAATCTTTGCACCGAAAAGAAAGACTCATGTCATCTCGCTTTCGTGGTTGGAAAAAAGTCAATAAACAACCTCAATTTCACAAAATACTTTCTGTCTGGATAGTGTCTAGGGAGATAACAGAATACCCTTTTCTTCTAACCTTTGCAATTCCAAATAACTGATTATGTTTACATTTTATAGTCTTTTAAGAGTTTAAGGGGGATGAATTTTTATTCAGCCCTTTTCTGGGTTGTAGAAAACAAACAAACCATTACTTTTATCTCTCTGTTTGAACTACAACCACACAATTCATGGCAGTCCTTGTCTGAGAAAAGATGCACTCAGATTTTACAAGAGGTTCATTTTCTAAGTTGAATTCATTTAAAGATGTTTTGAACACTGAACACAGTTTTTCAAAAAATGAAAAAATATTTTTGTTCCATAGCGAAAGATGGAATACTTAAAATTGTTTACAAGGTCGACAAAAGTATGAAATCAGAGTATGGTGTTTTCCATCTGCATTTTATCACGCAATGCAATAGAGTAAGTTCTTATTCATTTAATGATAGAAATTAATATTTATTTTATAAAACCAATTACTAATAGATAGATGTTTATATACTATGAATAAACAATCACCTGTATGAAAGGAAGAAGAAATTAGTCATTATTTTTGTACATAAAGGAAACACAACATAAACAGTCAATTAGGCTTGCTATTACATTGTAAATATAGAATTTTATAAATAATTGCTTAATTCCTCAAATTAAAAATTAATTGCAAAGCTATCTGAGTTTTCTTTAAGCAAATCAAAGCAAAACTTAAAAGTTATAACTTGTTATTACAACAGTTTTCAAAGCTAAAAATTTGGAGATTTAACCGTGTCATTCTTTTCGAGTCTCACACACAGTCTTACGTTACGTTACTTTATGCTAACAATCAGTACTTTGACAAGTTCAGACGGTGCAACAATATTGCACTGCTTTAGACCATTGAAAAAATTAGACATTAGGCCATTGGAAAATAAAATATAGATCTCTAATTACGAGTGCCATAATGGTGAACCATGAAAGACACGGTCACGGTTCTCCTGTACATCAATGGCGTCCATCGATTTTATTTAATTTTAACAATTTATTTAAATTTACAAAAATGACCTTATGACTATTCCACACAAATGACCTTGTGAGTTGAACGTCATTAATTGTAAGTGACTAGGGACTAGTTTGTAAATCACCAAGAGCCGATTGTCTTGACCGCCAGCAGTGTTCTCAGCCAATTTTTAAAAAGTATACTACCTCATATTAGTGATCTCCAGTGACTTTCAACAGATAGGTCACCAGTGACCAACAATTTTGACGGCTTCACTTTAAAGCAAAATTTTATTCGAATTCTCTTTACTGTCTTACGCCAATAAGTACAGATTTGAACCTGAAAATCTAGAAACTTTCAACCTAAAAATTACAGGTGACCTTGATGGGAACCAATGTTTTACGATTTAATTAAAATTTAAAAGGCTACATATTTTTATATTATTAATTAATATTAATTAAATTAATTAATTATTACTACAATATTTTTAATTTAATTATTAATTAATTATTATTACTATAATACCATTAATTTAATTATTAATTATAATATATATTAATTTAAATATTAATAATTAAATGGCTGTAGCTCAATAATAATAATTAATAATCAATATTAATAATGAATAATATTACATAAATATAAAAGGCTATAGCTCATCTTTGCAATCTGGTGACCTATTTGTTGATCGCAGCTGATTACGGAAATGTAGGTAACCGGTGACCAATACCCATGACGTCACATATGGTTTAACTTTGCTTTAATAGCCGAAGTAAATGGTAGAATTTTAATTTATAACAATTTATAATTTATAATACATCCAGTTAGTAAATATATATAACACATCCAGTACATCTGCAGCGCTGTTTTAACTATTTAAAGATGTTTCTAACGCCAAATATTATGTATTTGGTACAAAATCGTTTTGGTTTCTATCATTTTATTCGATTATTTTTTTTTCTTTTAGTGAATTTAGTTTCATGTATTTATTTCTAAATAAAATTTAAAAAATGAAAATAACTCTTTAAGAAAAGAGACAAAAACATTCACCGTTAAAACTTTGTAGCCAACAGTAGAAATGATAGCTGCCAAGGATCCTATAATCATTGCTCCAAAAGGGTGAATCCTCATATTTGCTGTCGAACCAACTGCTACACCTCCAGCTAGAGTTGCATTCTGAATATGAACCTAGAACAATGATGATCACTTACGTAAGAATGGAAGTTTCTATTATTAAAATGTTACGGAGGAAACTATTGATGTCTTTACACAAAATGTTTACATAAGAGAATTTCTTCAGTTTGCACTTAAATTAAGGAATAACAACGGTAACAAAACGTCTGGTCATTTTGAATAAAATTACGAGATATATTATTTATTAAATATTTTGGGCACCATAGGCAAATATTTCTAAAGACAATAGCGCATATTAAACAATCGAATGCAAATTTCAAAAGATAATCTTAAAGCTGAATAAAAGTTTGAATAGAACTTAATCCTTAGTTATACAAATGATAAAATTCGAAATTATTTATCTAATGAAATTTAATTTTTCTTAATGTCTAAATCGATGTACCCGCCATTCTTTTCATCATGTAAAAGTGGTATAAATTATGATATTGACAATTCTATTCAGGAATAATGCTGCATATTGCAGAACCATTTCCCTTAAAAAAAATTATTAAGATAAGGAAGAACTTACTAATTAGATTTTCTGTTTCCCTTATTAAAATTATAAAAAGTGTCACATGATAAACATTAGCCTAATATGAAATATTAGCTTGTTGAATCCATTTGGCTTATAATTAGCTTGTTTGATTCAACTGTAACCTTGGAAGTTTCAGGTTTTCAAGAAATATTCAACCACGCTATTATATTGAAATTTTTGCATAATGCTATGCAAGGAAGGCTTTCTAGTATAATACAGGTCTACATATATTATATTAAGAGTAAAACAATCTCGTTATGATATTCTAAATGATCCTGAGCAGTAATAATAATAATTTATTAGTCCAAAGGGGCTTTGCCCCTTAAATACTATAGTTTTCGTTTTGCGATTTTGCGTTGAATCACTATAAATGTCCGTTTCACTTTTCAAACTGTTGCCACCAAATGTTAGAGTCCTGCATTATATTTGAAGTAATTAAATAATGAAAAATCTGCATAAATGTATGACTATTTCTCGCATTGCGATAAAACAACGGTACATAGAGCCATCGAAGTTTGAATGATGTAATCCTCCTACGAATATGGGCATGTGGAAGACCAAATTTGAAATTGGGAATATGTTCTATTATCGATTTCATATTTTGTAAAAGTTTAACGAATTTTTGAGTAACAAACTCAAAGATTTAAAAGAGAGCAATAGCAGCGCTCTACAGGGAAAAAAAAAACTTTTTGTCTCTAGCGCGCGGAACTGTGTATCGGGCTCAATTTAAAATTATTTTTCGATGCTGCTCTTGAACTGAATTTTATGGTTTAAGTGCGAAGAACATGATATTTAATAAATATAGGTAACACACAAAACATTAAAAAAACGCCCCTCTGGGCGTAATGTAAAATATGTAAGCTTTCAGATTTTTTTAAAAATAATATTTTGCTAAAATAATACAACTTTTAAAAATAACACATTATGTAACATTTGTTGACTCGAAACAATAAAAATATTATGGTGAGTACGTAATATCCAAAGAGTGTTCTTGTTCAGATTTCATTAAGAATTCTTGCTAATTAATAACAATGACAAAATTAGTAGCCAAAAGCGGACTTACCAAAGCGTGCGTAAAGCATCTAATCGTGCCAGACGCATTCAAGCAGATTACAAATTAAAAGTGATTAAAATTATTTTTTAGTTAAAATAAATATTACTAAAAGTATCATATATAATGCTGTTACAGAAAAGAATAAATTAAATATAATAGAAGCGCCAATGCCCGACTCCAAGTGAAAAATGACTGGAGCCGGCTGTCTGGGGCCTTGCTCCCAGACAGCTTATTCATAATCTTATAAAGTTTCATTTAAAGTTGAAATGTTTTATATATTGCATAGCTGTGGGATATTAATATGCAAACTTTGAAGTAATTGGTTTAATGGTTAATGTTTTAGGAAGATTTGGGTAGCAAACGTTCAAGTCTAATTTTGGAAAGAGATTTTGTACGTTGTTTCCTAAGAGTTAACGTTACTTCATATAGGCGGTAAAAAAGTTTTTTTTTTCTCTCTCCTCTACTGTCTACGCCGTCGATAGCCACAGATTGTGAAAGCAATTATTGAGTTTTATAATAAACTTTGAACCTATTTCTCCTTGCGAAAACTAACAAACAACAAACAAATTTAACAAAATTCCTTCTATTAACAAACAAGAAACAAAATTCTTCTTTCGTTGTAAACAACAAATAAAACAAACAACTTTTAACAAAATTCTTTTTTCGCTGTAAATAACAAACAAAACAAACCACTTTTAACAAAATTCCTTCTATTAACAAACAAGAAACAAAATTCTTCTTTCGTTGTAAAAAACAAATAAAACATACAACTTTTAACAAAATTCTTTTTTCGCTGTAAATAACAAACAAAACAAACAACTTTTAACAAAATTCTTTTTTCGCTGTAAATAACAAACAAAACAAACCACTTTTAACAAAACTCTTTTTCCTCTGTAAACAACAAATAAAACAAATAACCTTTAACGAAATTCTTTTTTCGCTGTAAACAACAAACAAAACAAGCAACTTTTACCAAAATTCTTCTTTCGTTGTGACGTCTCAAATTAGTAATCAGTATTTTTTAATTTCAATTCCTTTTCATTTTTTCTGAATCCAAAATATATAAACATTGCAGCGTATGCAAAACAGTTGAACCTGGAAGAAAGTTACTACCGGCAGATATAAGCAGTAATCCTTAACGGTAACCTAATATGAGAATAGGTCTGTAACAGCTGAGTGTTATCGAGAACTAAGTGACTTCGAATGCGCTGTCTACCCGAATGAGAGTTTAGATTCGCCAAATAGGTAGCTGAGTGGGTAAGTGCTTGGTAATAATTTCTGGAGCATATTATTGGGAGAATTAATAGATAGCTCTTATCGTCGACTTCTCTATTTCTATAATATACATACAGCAGCCAAATAAGCTCTTTGTTATTGATATGACATTGCTGAGAAAAGTTATGCTTGTGCCGTTTTCATTTTTAAGCTATCATTTAGTATTTTTTAACTCATGAAAACTGATTTTATTTGTTACTACACCGGTTTGTTAGTCCAAAGGGCTATTAATTTCGTTTTGGCATTTTGTGTCGTCCGCTATAAGACGGCGTTCCGCTTTTCAACTTGTTGCCACCAAATATTAGAGCCTTGCATTATATTTAAAGAAAATAAATAATGAGGAATTTGCGTGAATGTATGTATGTTTCTTGCACTGTGAAAAAACGACGGTACCTAGAGACATCAAATTTTGACTAACGTAGTCTTCCACTCGAATATAGGCATCTGGAAGCCCAAATTTAGAATTTGGAATTTGTTTTATTATCGATTTCATATTTTGTAAAACTTTAGCGAATTTTTGATGAACAAATTTAACGATTTCAAAACGAGCAATGGCAACACTGTAAGAAAAAGAAAAGTATTTTTATCTCCAGCGAGAGAGACTGTGTATGGGAAATTCTGAAGATATGTTCTTTTTAAATATTTTGTGACATTGCTGTTGAATTGAATTTTACGTAGTTTAAGTTAATGGTTACGTGATTACGACATGATATTTAATAAATAAAGGCAACACACAAAATGTTTAAGAAACGCCTCTTTGGACGTAATATAAAATATCAAAGTTTTAAGACTTTTTTTTTTCATGTAAATTAATTTTCTAACCGTCATACCCAGCGGTCATTCCGAACTGATTTTATCGCTCCCGTACATTTTCCACGTTTCCCGTACATTTTTCCCGTACATTTTCCACGTTTTGCTCTTCATAAAGGAATCCGAAAATGCTATTCCTCTGCTCCTTTTTTGTGCTTGTAGTGCGAAAAAGTAAAGAAATGTAATATAGCATAGATAAGGTTTTTTTTTTTTTTTTTTTTTTTTTTTTTTTTTTTTTTTTTTTCCTACAAATTCACAAGTCATGTGAACCATAATCAGGTGCCTACTATAACCCAATATAACCTACTATAACCCAATTACACTATAACCTACTATAACCCAATTACACTATAACCTACTATAACCCAATTACACTGAAAGATACATCTTCTTTGAGATCTTTGCAGAAAAAATTCTGATGTGTACAACACATGACTTCCTTGTAGGGAATATTAAATTATACGCATTTTTGGCTGTATTTCATTTAAACTTATTTCCTCGAATTTCATTAGAGCTATATTTCTCATTCAATTAATTCAATTCTCACTTCTCACCAAGGCAAAAATACAAAATAGCTTTGCTAAAAATTGAAAAATGTAGAAAAATATAAAACAAGAAATACAGTTAAAACAATTAAAAATTTTTTTTTATAATTAAAATTAGAGTTCTACGCAAAAACAAGCAATTCGGCAAGCAGGCAAGAAGGTATATTTCTCAGTGCACAAAACTGAAAGTTTATTTTTTCAAAAAGACGCTGAAGGTGCTAAAACTGACTTAATTTTCTCCTAAGTTTCCAATGTAAACAAATATGGCTGCTATGGTAAAAAAAATAGGCTTAGATGCACTTAAACAACTTTTAAATTGTTGATAATTCTACAACTACTGCATGCAGATTAACTAAAGGCATAAAAACCTTAACCAGAAAATACGAACAACATTATTCAATTCATTTTTTAAAGCAAAAAATGCACAATTTACCGACATATAGGAATAAAAAAAATGAGCTCGCAGAGCCTAGAAACAGAGTAGGTATCTATATATATATATATATATATATATATATATATATATATATATGTACTTTTCGTGCAGGCGATTGCAACCAAAAAGGGAGGTGCACAACTACATGTTATAGCAGTCCTATGTACAAAATTTCAACATTTCGAGACTACTCTTTTTTGAGTTATGCGAGATACATACATACGTATAGACATCACGAAAAAAATTTCTTCTGAATTCATTTTAACTTATGCAACCCGTTTTGGGGGAACAAATTCCTTTATTCTAGTCTTACGTACAGATGTCACGCAAAACCACCATTAAATTGCATTCGATACAGCAAAAAATGGATATTTTCGTTGATATATGACGCCCAAAAATTTTCGCGATTGCAGTACTTCCTTCACTTCGTACAAGGAAGTAAAAATGGTATTTGTAATGCTCTCAAAATCTCTCCCCCTTCATCTCAAAGTATGTTATTCTTATAAGTAACAAAAACGAACATAGTAAAAAAAAAAAAAAAAAAAAAAAAAAAAACACCTGTTATATTTAACTCTAATTATCTTTAATTTTACTACACAATGAAGTTTGGAAAAAATTAATTTTCTGCACCAAAGGGGAAAAAAACTAAAATATTAAAGTATTTAATGTTATAATACAAAAAAAGTTCTGTTCTTGATCCCTGGCTGCCTCCACAATGTGTTCCAAAAACTATAAATTTTAGTTATAATGTAAGCAAAAATAATTAATTTAAAAATACATAATAATTAAATAAGCCAATGTATTCATTCTCGGATATGGACCCAGAGGTTTCTGGTTATTAAGACGATGATGATGATGGTAAGAGCATTTGAATACTCATCTACATTGATGGATTATATCAACTAAAGATTATGCGTTGTATTAATTTTTTAATTAAATAAACTCTCTCAAATGGGAGCATAAAAATTCTTGCAGGTATGCCAAGTGACTATTTGCTTATCATTGTCATAAAAACTGTCATAAAAACAATTTTAGCAATTACAGATGCAAGTTTCCTTTGGGTGACCTAAACTAAAAATGCATTTCAAATAGAAATTTGGAGATATATTTTATTTTAAATGTGTTAAAAAATAACATTATTGTCGGAAACGATACGTGCGAAAGCGACCCCCTTTTAAAGTGAAAATGGGATCCTTCTGTACTGAAGTAAGAGTTGCCATAAATATTTTTGTGATTCAGCAGAACTCCTGATTATTATTCATACAGACAAGTAATACCATTATTTAACTTACCATTAAATAACTGCAGTACCTCTTATTTTTCCTGCAGTCTTTTAAAATAACACAGATGGCTGCATTTAAATTGAATGTTGTAGCGCTATGTATTTTAATTCTCTTATCTTAGATGTGCACTCTGAATTTATGCATAATCCTGTTTCAAAATGATTTATTGGAGCAAAGAGAGAAAAAAAAGGGCGCAAGAGATAGGCAAATTTATGGAAATAAAGTAGGTGCAAAAGAAAAAAATCGCGATAGTGCAATTACTTTATTTGTGATAAGAAAGTTCCGAAGAAGCAGTTTTGGAGAAACTAATTTACAGCAGAAAAGTATGCAATGAAAACTTGTGAATGTTTATCAAGGGAGTCATAAAAATCCATAAGCTTAATCATTTAAATTCTGAAAAACAATACTCGCTTCTCATGTAATGGATGTAATAAAATTCAGCATGAAAAATATTCTTACATTTACATGCAGAAATATTTTTATAATAGCCTTCTGATATAACGTTAAAAAAATCAGTGAAGCTTCTTATGGAGACTATCTTTCTAAGATAACCTATGAAAGTGAACAGTATTTCCGAAAACATAAATAATAACGCTGAACAATTTCTGTAATCATATTCTCTAAGACGACCACCTCCCCATAATGTTCAAATAATCTGAAACCGTAGGACACTCGATATAGTGCAGAAATAAAAGGAGAAATTATCTTCTGAAATTATCAGGGTCTAACACAAACAGGTGGTTAAAATCTATACCTCAACATTAGGTCTGCCATAGCATCTGTTATGAGCAGCTTTCAATACGATAGTACTCCTGAATAAGTAGCATCATTTTTTTAAAATCATAAAGTATCTCAAATACAACCAAGGGGGGAAAAAAAGGATATCTGAAGGGTTTCAGATTTTAAATTACGTCCAAAGGGGCGTTTTTAAACATTTTGTGTGTTACCTTTATTTATTAAATATAAATAATTAATGTCGTTAGAATTTCCGATACACAGTCTCACGTGCTGGAGATAAAAATGTTTTTTTTTTTTTTTTTTTTTTTTTTGTTTTTTGCCATTGCCCGCTTTGAAATCCTCGAGTTTGTTAATCAAAAATTCGCTAAAGTTTTATAAAACATGAAATCGATAATAAAACAAACTCCGAATTTCAAATTTGGGCTTCCAGATGCCCATATTCGCAGTAGGATTACGTCATTCAAATTTTAATGGCTTTAGGTACCTTTGTTTTTTCACAGTGTGAGAAACATAGCTATATTTATGCAGATTCTTCATTATTTAATTTCTTCAAATGTAATACAGGGCGATAATATTTGGTAGCAGCAGTCTGAAAAGTGAAACAGAGATTCAAAGTGATTCGACGCAAAATCGTAAAACGAAAACAATAGTCCCTCAGGAACAAAGCTCCTTTAGACTAATTATCTGCCTTTGCAGATCTGCCTTAAACGTTTGTGAGTTTTTAAATCTTAAAGTTGAAGACTATACTCACTTTTATGTATAAAGAAAAGAATTCTTTTTCCACCGAATTTCTTTCAGTTCTTCAGTTTCTTGGTTTCTAGATGTCCTATATTGTAATTTTTAAAAATATTTAATCCCTTACTATTGCTTTTTTTATATGCATATCTTTAAAATGACCACTTCAATCAACCTTTTCATTTAATCGATCAAAATATTATATTTCATTCAATCAAGACTTCAGAATACTTATTATATCACCAACAATCATTAATTTCGGTTAGGTTATTTAATTGTTTAATTGCGGCACAGCCTCGAGGGATATTTGCCTAAGGGGAGGGATGCCTTCGTGGAGGACTTTCTAAGGGGAACTGGCTCGTATACACGTTACACATGGAGAAAACCACAAAAACACCCATGCAGCCAGCCCGTTCGCGGGATTTGAACCTCGGACCGAACTACCAGTGTTAAGGGATTTTACCGTTCGGCCGCTGGTGGGCCATTAATTTCGAATGGAATAAATATTCTCAAATAACAGTATGCAGTGAATTATTTTAAGAGCGAAAAAAAATCGACCGTTCTGTTGGTAATCATAACGTTAAGATCAACAGCTTTACAGTCACAGTTTTAATATTTCAGTCACTTTAATATGTTAAAAGAGAGATAGTCTCAGAGTATTCCTTTTTGTAATATGCGTTGACTATCTATTTAAATTTTATTCATTGAAAAAATATATTCTTGCATCAGATAACAGCTAGCAAATTAAAAAAGTGCAAGCAGTGTGCTCGGCTATCATAGTATAATAATATTTTTAAACTATTAGAAATTTTAATATAAATGAGAATATTTACATTCAAAAAGCTTAGTTGGGCTTATAAAAAGTTATTTGTTTTCAAACTCCCTTTCTCTTCGACAATATCTATTAATGTAATATTATTTACTTTGAAAACGTTCTCTTAAAATGTTCGACTTGCACCTCCTAACTTAGCTAAGAAAACACATCTCATGCTGTCTTATCACTTTTACGCAATTACACGTTTCTAAAAATCAGAAAGCATTTAATTAAAAGTAAATAACATTTGTTTGCATTGTCGTAATTAATTAGCGAGTCGTCTTTCCGAAAGTATAATGTCCCTTCAAAGATTAAACTAAATGAAATATTATTTAATGCTTCATAATTACCATATTTAACCGCCCCTCACCATCGATGAGCGATGATATGGCGAAAGTTGTGACACAGCAAGATAACATAGCAACGTACGTGTTGATAACACTTCGGTGTCGCTCGTCTCCAACAGCCATAACGGAATTGAAACTAGGCCAGAACATCCAAAGGAATATAGTACCTGTGAATTCAAACAGTTCAACGTTTTGTCATTTTTAATAACAAGTAATTAATTATTAACCTAAAACTACTTCATAATAAAATAGGAATATAATATCTAAGGTTTACATAGGAAAATATATATGTAAGGAAAATGAAAAATATGTAAAAGATAAATTATTATTTAAATTAGCAATAGCCCCTTAATGCTTAATTTGGTATATTTTTTCTCTATTCTAAAAATAGTTATTTTTTCTGCACTGCAACATTTCGAGATTAGTCCATCTCGTATGGCTCTCACGGCCCACCAGCGGCCGAGCGGTAAAGTCGCTGAACACTGGTAGTTCGGTCCGAGGTTCGAATCCCGCGAACGGGCTGGCTGCATGGGCGTTTTCGTGCTTTTCCCCATGTGTAACGTGTATACGGGCCAGTTTCCCTCAGAAAGTCCTCCACGAAGGCATCCCTCATCTTAGGCAGATATCCCTCGAGGCTTTGCCATAATCACACACACACACACGTATGGCTCTCACATAGCGCTGGTGATGTAAAGATTTTAAGTTTTACTAACGTTTATTTCATTTTAAGACTTATTTTCCATTTATCCTTTCTTATTTTCCATTTACGGCCAGAATAAGCGCGAGTAAAATTGTTTATGTTAATGAGGTTGCAAACTGTACAGGTATTTAAGACCTGGCTTTTAGCCAAGAGAGAGAGACTCCTCACTGCCTTACCACGCGTGTGCTTTTCAGTCTCATGTCTGCCTTTAAAGCCAGAACTTAGTTTTCGATGATATTTGAAGGCATATTGTAGTCTTTTGCATTTCGCTCACTACCTACGTAGCATCAAAACTTCAAATCTCCGCGTTACTAGTCTCTGTAAAGCATCTAAGTTTAGTTCTTATTTAGTTAAGTTAGTTCATTTCTTATTTTGTACGTTTTAGACCATAAGTGCTGGTCTCTGTATCCCGAAGTGCGGAAACGACTGTACGCTGTGAGAAATAAAGGGCAAATTTAACCCTTCTTTATCATTGTTGTATCTTCTACACACGCACGATAGTTTTGCGTAAGCTCCGTGTTCTTACTTAAGACTCCAGTTATTTTTCCAAAGGCAATTAGAAGGAATCATCCCTCCTCGCAGATAGCTGTTTATTAGCTTTGCCATATTTTTTTAAACTAACATTACAAATTCCAAAAGTCAAGTAATTCTGGATTAAAAACATAATATATCACAATAGAAATGTCCTTTATTAGCTACAAGATTGCTGAAAATGTTCACAAAAATTATTATTTGTTGGACATATTGCAAATTTTTTGGATTTAAAATTACATCACTCAAAAAGATTTAAAATAAAATTAAACTGTAAGTGATCATCAAGACTCTTGATAACGCCCAACCGGTTAGCGTCACTGACTGCCGTGCCGAAAGACCCGATTTCGATCCCCGAAGAAGGCACGGATGTTTGTATAGTGTCGGTGCAGCATGGCAGCACTCTAAATATGTGGCGAGCAGAAAGTCCTCTAGTGTGGTTTGGTGGAAGGGGAGAGGGATGGGAGACCCTCGAATCCGCCCCCCCCCTCGGAGTGCTCTCCATTAAAATTGGGACTGAGCTAAGTCGCACTGTCACCTGAATGGTGCTCAATGCTGTAGCCAACGGCAGGAGTAATCTAGCGCTTCTTGCCACGAAGAATTTCGTGGGCTTGGATTGACTACGTCAGATAAGTGAGCATAACTGTTTGGCGTTCAAGTCTTCGTAGTAAGTGAAAATAGTAAATTAGCTTCGTGAGTTTCCTGGAAATGTGAAGGTTCTGAGAATTGTCCCTTTCGACGTCCAGTCCCGCGTAGCCGAAACATAATGTGATTGGGACATTAGTAACAAGAAGATTCTTGACTGCCAAAGATCTATGGCTGACGGTCACTGGTAGGGAAGGCGCAGCAAATTTAGATAGAATAGCAGAATATAATTTAAATAATTTAGACAGAAATAAAACGTAGCTGATAATTACTGTAAATTAACAATAGAAAATTTGTGCAAAAAACTGGTAAACTTGGCAACTGATTATTTGCAATAAGAATGAACCGTAGTCCAGTTTCTGTTTCGTCTTGGAGATCCTGTTTCTGTTTCCGTTTCGTCTTGAATCCAAGACTTCCCTTGACTGAAATTTCAGGATGGAGAATTCATGCGTAGAAGCTGATTCCTAAGTCTTTGAGCAACAGAAAAACAGAGATTCATTCTTTGTGAAGCTTCTGAATGGCTTCAAGATGATCTAACTCATTCCGTACCGTAGTTCGTTTGACAAATGATGCTTAAGAAGTCTACGGCCAATTCGTATTCTTTTATTTATATTTAAAACAATTATGAAAAGTTCAAAAGGATATGAAATGATAAAATGTTGAAAAAAAATCTGTTTTTCCCCCCAAATTATTATTTACTAACATAATATGATTTTATTTATTGCATGACAAAATTTAGGGAAAATTACATGGATTTTAGACTAACTAGGGAGAGATTTCTGAGGTTTAATAATTAATGAAAGCCGGTGTATTTAGAAGATTAATTTTCCTGTGCTTATTAGACGCTCTTCAGCTAATGATAACGGTTATTTGGAAGGTGAATGTGGATTATTTAGTTTTCTGCAATTTGTGCTAAACAGAAATTTAAATTTATAATGTTATCAGTGTTAAATCATTAGCTTACCAATCATGGCAAATATATCCGAATTGTAGTTAGAGCCCTCCTTAGGCTGTCCAAGAAACTCCTTTCGATATAGCATATATGACACTGCCAGACCGAAATAAGCCCCAAATGTATGCAAAAATATAGAACCGCCTATATCTGCAGCCTAAAAAAGATAAATCGCATTAGACTCCTGGGAACGATATTAAAAACGTCTTCTTGATACAAAAATTTGGTTTTGTTCAAATAATTTATACAGTTGATTAAATATTTTAAATTTTAAGGTTTTACTCTGAGATTTACGTCAAATTTTCTCTGTATACAATTTCTAAAACTATTTTCTTTTGCTTTCGACAGCACGGTATTCGTATGAATCCTTTATGAGCCGAAATGATGTAGAAAGAATAAACATCTGCAACTTCGTGAAGCAAGGCTCAAACTGTGTTGGAGTGGTTCGAGAAGCATAGGGATGTATTCCAGTTAATGTCCTGGCCACCTAACTCGTCAGATCTTAACCCGATAAAGCACATATGGGAGGTTATGCAACGACATCCCAGAGCTCAAACACCAGCATGTCGGACTTTGCGTGACCCTGCTGAGACATTTGGTATAACCTGTCTCCAGTCATCTACCAAGAACTTATTGCATCTGTGCCAAGGCAAGTTGCAGCTGTTTTGCAGGCGAAAGGTCGTGCTCCCATTATTGAGTAGAGGGTCATAATGTTTTGGTTTTTTACTGTATGTCTTGATAAATATTCAGTAAGTTGAATTTAAAACTTTTTTTATTTATTCATTTGCTTTCGTTTTATTAAAAATTTTGATGTCTTGTTAAGGAAAATGTTCTTGTTTGCATGCAGTTTGTGTTTGAGACTAGTGACTCAGACTTTCTCAATTAAATCTTTTTGATAGGATAGGCAATAATGCTACGATTACATTTTATTAAATTAAACATTTTAATAAAAAATTCTTTTGCTATTTGCCATGCTATTTCAAGTATAAGAATTAGCTTATTTCTTCTACACAAGTTTCAGATACTATATGAAAGGAAATTAAAGACTTGAACTAAATTCATATCATCTGTTGATAAGATATCATTCTGATAAGATTCTGATCTGTAGATAAGATTCATCTTCTAAATTCATATCATCTGTTGATAATTTTATCAAGGACGGTTGATAAGACCGTCCTTGATAAAATTAATATCATTCCTACTTATTATTTTTGATGATTGTAAAATTTTTCGTCACGATAGAGTCCAAGTCACGGTAGAGTCCACGATATTATCTTCAATTTCTTGTATTAATATCGATCTTTTATTTTACTACATTCTAATTATGAACATATAAGATAATTTTTTTGGTTTCAGTACACAGTTTTATTGAATTTTATTTAATATGCTATTCTTACTTACAATTGAAGCAGATAGTCTATTGAAATAAGTTAACATTACTTCTACTTAATCTTTTAAAAAATCTTTTAAAATCTTACTTTATAGATGCGTATACCCAGCTGTTCATTGCATGCGAAAACTGGAATTTCCAATATGGCCATGGTTACTAACTGTAAAGGACTAGTTTTACCTAACACAGCTCCAAATGATATTAAAACTGTCGCAGTCGCAAAATTTCCATTGATGAAGCTAAAAGAAAAATAATTTATTATTAATATCTGCAAAGTTTAAGAAATGGCACTAAACGTTTATGTATATTAGTAAAAAGAGAACAATATGGTTAACAATTATCACTAATATTTAACTGGGATAGTGGTTAGTAATTCTTACTGCCATACCGAAGGCTCCGGGTTCGGATTTCGGAGAAGGCATGGATATTTGTAAATTCGTAGTGCCTGTGCGGTATGGAGGCGCTTCAAGACTGAGCGAACTTCCTATACAGCCATTAGAGGCTTAACAGCGCTTATTGTGCTATTTAAAAAAAGAAACGGCACTCTAAATTTCCGGCGAGCCGAAAGTCCTCTCGAGAGGTTGATGGTAGGGGAAGAGAGATGGGAGATCCTCGGAACCCTTTGCTCCGGAGGCGTAATGGCAGACCGCACATTGAGTTGAATAGTGTTAAGCGAATTTCGCTTACTGCGCATGCTTGATGGTGTACCTTTGGCGCAGGGAGAAATATTGGCGACTAAGCAACCCTACGTTAGCTTATTCGTGATCTCCATGGCTGTCGTGTGTGTTCGAGTGATGTTTAAAACTGCAATGTTGTGGAACTTTGCTTATTAGTTATTTTAACGTCCATGCCGATTGCACTTGCTTATTTTTCTAATATATGTTTCATTTTAATTTGTCAATAACAGTGCATTTAATATTTGTTAACATATGTTCGTAATAAATCGTTATTTAAATGTAATTTGTTTACATGTTATAATTCAGTAATTGTAAACTGGAGTGTCTCGCTTAATTTGTTAGCGTATATTCGCGCTTTTATTTTCTCATTTCAAAGAATTTAATAACTAGCATTAAAGAATTGTAAAATTTCTTCAGTGTTATTTGCAAGCACTTGTTATATTCCTCAGTGTTTCTTTTATGTATGTACGAATGGAACGTATAGTAAATCCTGAATTGTTTTTTATTGCTTAAAGTATAATGAATGAATTTTCAACTAACTATATCCTAAATTTCAGTCTTTTTCTGAAACGAAATTTGTACAGTTCCAAAGGAATGTGCAGAATTTCATAAGTATTATATATTTACATTTTGAATGTAAACACTGCTTCACATTTAGTTACTTCGCAATAATTTTCAGCTTTCTAGTTGTTTGAGCAGTACAGCAAAAAATAGTATTTTAACACAGTAATTAATTTACATTTACGTTATACTCTACGAAGATTTAAACGCCAGTTTTGTTTACAATTAGATGGCGATACATCTACCATATACCGTATTTATCTTCTTTTCAAATCGCGCCAACATAGTAATTACGCCAAATAGCTTTCTGGGCATGCGCAGTATGCAACATTCGTTTAACACTGTTCAACTCAATGTGCGGGCTGCCATTACGCGCCCCGGAGTGTTCTCTCTTAAAACTGGCGGCGGAAATGAGCTAAAGTCAGACTGTCACCTATATTACGCTAAGCTGCTGCCAACGACAGGCGCATTTGACTACTTGGGCAGATGAATGTCATGGGTTAATGCTAACCATTGTCAGACAAATGAGATTGATAACAACACTTAAAGGGAAGTTTTGAAATTTGTTAAATAACATTTGCACACATGCACATGTTAGCTTTTAATTCAAGGAAGGAGTTTTCATGTGTAACAGAAATTTTCTAATACTTTTATTCTTTCCTGAAATTCTGTTAATGTCTTAATACATTTTCTGTATAGGTACTTCATGATTTTACTTCGGGTCTAAAATGACCATGAATATTTCGAGAGCTTAAAAAAAGTACATTTTAGTACATTTATCTAAAATCGCGTAACTTAAAAGATTTTTTTTTTACGGCTTTATCTTGTAGTTTTAGCTTACAATATCTACATATAATAAAAGAAACAGTCTGTGTGTGTGTGTCTTTCGTTCGTGCTGCGCGTAAGCTAATAGACCCAGGGCTACGAAATTTGGTATATAGGTGCATCTAAGACAAGAGTCAATGCATCTCGAAGCGACTTTTTTGAAAATTCGAATAAGATTTTTTTATTTATTTATTTTGATGAAATCGCATCATTTTAAATAGTTTCATTCTCTTAAAAATGTGGTTTTGAGCACAGTTTGTCATTCAATGCTTTGTATACTGGACCTGTTGAAAATATGAGATAAAATGCTGTTGATTTTACACGCAACACGCACATCGCAATCTTCTTATTCTGACGCGCATGTGTCTCGCGGGGCACAAAAGAGAGAATTTCATTCCCCCCTCTCTCTGTTTTTACTAGCTAGTGGAAAAAAGAGTTTTGTATATTTTGAATTATGTCATCCACAAAGCACAATTTTGACTGGTTATTGCTTTCTGATGATAGTTTCATTATTTTAGAAATGTGGTTTTTGGCAACAGTTTCTCATTCATTGCTTTGGATACTGGACTGCTGACTGTTTTCTCTTGAAAATATGAAATTTATTGCTTATTTCATTGTACGTTTTTTAATTACGTTTTAATGATATATATTTTTAATTATATAAAACGTTTTGCAGGATTTTATTTTAAGAAACAAAGTTCTTAACTTCCTTTATACCACTTGAGTTCTTAAGATTCTGCAACAGAAGTTGGTTAATTTATTTATTTGGGATAATCAATATTTAAGGGATATTGCTTATTTCATTGTGATTTTTATATATAATACATTTTTATTGAAATTTCTGCTTTTTTTTTTTTTTTTTTTTTTTTGATAAAGTTGTTCTGCAGAGTAAAATTCTGTTCATTTTTAAAATTTAATGGTTGGTGTTCCCTCTAGGCATTTTTCTGCTAGATTTAAAAGCCAGACGAAGGCTGACAGCTTAGCGCTTAGTATATAATAAAGAAGGAAAATGTCTGTTTCTGAATGTTGTTCCTTCTAATCAGCGTAGCAAAGAAGTACACTTGATGACACATTTTCTTTTTTGTGATGATCTTCCAATCTATCCGATGAATGCTAATAATGACGCATAACGTTCTGCTTAATTTAAGCCTTATTGGCAACTAGAATTAGAGAAGATTATGGTATACTGTTCGCTATTCTTCTTACAACTATAGAAATCAAGTTCAAAGTTGGGTTAAAATACCATTTTGTTTAACTCAAACAGGCACGTAATGGCCGAACTTACTACGGCCGAACTTAGTAAGTTAGGCTTAAAACAACGACGTGGCTAGAAGACAGATCACGCTCTGTTGAGAACTTTCGAGCTCTTCTTCTGGGTGACTGAACTTTCCTTTAAATACTGGTTCTACTTCTACCTCATTTACATAAAACGCGATACTGAAAACTCATTCTGGCAGGGAATTCTAGGTGGGAAAGAAGAAAATACAGAAAAGTTGTTTTAAAATTAAATATAGCTATTAGAAAATTAAAATAAACCCCTATAGATAAATTAAATCTCTGCATTGAGAAAAATCCGTCTATTTTAGCAAAAGCGCAATGACAAAAAATACTAAACAAATTATAAAAAAATATGCCAAAATTCAGAAAATAGTGTTATAAATTCCGAATCGACTTTGTTTGCAAGATTAAATTTGATCTATTTGTCAGTGTCAACGTTATCAGAAACCCCTATACCGACAATGTTAAATTGGCCATTTTCGATGTACCTTTTCTCAAAATCTGCTGTAGATACAAAGTTGAAATTTTTTCTGTAATTAAAGTATACCTATATCATTATACTGAAATGAGCTTTTGAAACATTTTGAAATTTAGAGTAAATTGCAGAATATTTTGTTAGGCATAGTAAAATTTAGCACTTTTTTCACACAAAAAAATTAAAAATTTTTTTTTCTAAGTTAATTACAAAAAGCTCATTTCAGTAAATATTAGGAAACTTAATAAATAAGCCATAAAAAGTTTAGATACCTGTGAGCAGTAGTTCCTGAGAAAAGGTACATCGAGTATAAAAAAATCAAGTTTGGAGAAAAACGTGTTTTTATGTAAAAATCCTCATTGATCAAAGCAGTAGATGACAAATTAAAACTAGATTTTTTACAGTTCTAATTTTCATAGAGATTAAAGAATGGTATTTTTAGAAAGATAAAAAAGCGTAGAGAATTTGAAAATGCAAAAATCCGAAATCACAAATTTTTGAAGATTTTGGGGTTCCAACACCCCTTAACATTCTGTGAAGATTAGTTTAACTGCTAAGCAGGATATGTGAGAAAATTTTAACATTAAATTAAAAAAAATCTGTTTATTAAATTTTGAGAATATTCTTCTTTAATATTGTATAGTCATTGAAATAGATATTTGGAAAACGTTTCAGAGATATCGAATTAGTAGAATGCGATTAAAAACTAATTCCAATATTCGACCCTAGCAAGCAAACAGAGAATCCAAGTTAAATGAAACCGCGTGAAAAAGAGGTTTTTTGTAACACACAACTTAAAGGAAAGATTAAAGATTGCTGGCATATTTTCAAGAAGTCCAAAATAACGTAGATAAATTGTTTTGGCTAAGAGCGAAATAAATTTAGACACTTTCGCTAAATATTTCAGTCTTGCTTTCCCTAATTTGATCTTCGGAGGTAATGTACCTTTTACTTTACAAAACTTTGACAGTTAAAACTGTTACATATTACGTTAATTACTAGCAATATTTAAATTAAAAAAAATCTGAAAGGTTTCAGATTTTAAATTACTTCCAAAGGGGCGTTTTTTTAACGTTTTGTGTGTTACCTTTATTTATTAAATATCATGTTCCTTGCCCTTAAACCATAACATTCAGTTCCGCAATGTCGCAAAATAATTTTAAAATGAGCCTATCTTTAGAATTTCCGATATACAGTTCCGCCCGCTGTATATAAAAAGGTTTTTTTTTCCTCCCCGTAGAGTGTTGCCATTGCTCGCTTTTAAATCGTTGAGTTTGATAAACCAAAATTCCCTTAAGTCTTACAAAATAAGAAATAGATAATAAAGTAAGTACCAAATTCTAAATTTGGGCTTCCAGATGCCCATATTCGGGTGGAAACGTACGTTATTCAAAATTGGATGGCTTTAGGTACCGTTGTTTTAGCACAATGCGAGAAATATACATATATTTATGCAGATTCTTCATTATTTAATTTCTTTAAATATAATAGGGCAATAGTATTTGGTGGCAACGATTTAAAAAGTGATACAGCCTTTTAAAGTTTTCAACGCAAAATCGCAAAACGAAAACAATAGTTCTTCAGGGACAAAGCCCCTTTGGACTAATAATTGTAATGTGTTTATTATTTTTTATCAAAATTCAGGGTGTTCATAAAAAAAGACTACAGGTTTTATTCTCTTTAGTTCTATAAATAAGGTAGAGAATTTTATGAGAACAATTTAAGCTATAGGGGTTAAAACGATTAGGATCTAAAATTGCAAAATTTAACTTTATATACTGTTCCTGAACAACAAAAAGCCCCCAGTCAGAAAAGTGTTCTTTTTATACTTTAAAAAATTACATGGGAAAAAATTTCAGATCTTTATGTGTGTAGACTCATTGGATTGTTTTCAAAGCGGGAGGCTTGAAAAATGTGCAATGCCCTCTCAGAGACTCGAACCTGGAGCTCTTGAATGCGCGCCCAGTGTATCGGTATTAGTTTCTTTGAAAAACGCACCAATAATAATTCAATAAAACCTGATTTACGAAAGCAATATAATGAAAGTTACTTTGACTGAAAGTGATAACCAATATTTGCAGTGGTAAAATCGTCTGGTACTTTATAAACGAAAAATCTGATTAACTTAGAAATAAAACAGGAGACAATGTAGCTATTAACCTTTAGGTTTCCGTGAATGCCTTATTGTAAGAGGTAAAAAATAACTAAATTGTAAATTGCATTTCAATCAGAACTTGAGAAAGGTTATAGTACTAAGTAAATACATTTTCAGGTAAAAAATATTCCCGTTTGGAAGTTTTACGAATGCGGTGTACACTGAGGAACCAAAACATTATAATCAGGGTGTCCGCCGATAACATCGCGGTCGAAAACGAGAAAACAACGCAAGGCGGAAACGTCGCGCTACAAAACATCGCGGGAGAAAACATCGCAAAGAGAAAACATCGCAGTTCTAAAACTTCGTGGCACAAAACATCGACGTCGAAAATAAAGCGGTTGAAAAGCTTCGCAGTTTAAAAACATCGTCGTCAAATATATCGTGGTAAAATATAAAGTATCTACAAATCATCGCATGACAGTAACATCGCGGACATGCTTTTTTCAGGGTTAATAATTGTAAATGGATATTCCCATAATGATTTGTGAGCCCGAGATGTAAAGAAGGATAAATTTTACTTTTACATTTTTTATTTACGAATAGATTTTTGCTGAAAAAGTAAGAATGAAACTTAAGCACAGAAATTTAAATGCAACTTAATATACTTTTCATGAAAAATTACCAGTAAAAACTTTATAAAAAATTATTTATTAATGGCCTTTGTTAGTTAACTATGTCGGTTTAAAATCCTATTAAGTGCTATAATTTGCCTTAATTTTCTATGCTTAAGTTTCCTTCTTATTTTTTCAGCAAAAATTTATTAGTTATTAAAAATATGAAAGTAAAAATTATCCTTCCTTTCCATCTTGCGCTCACAAATCATTATGGGAATATCCATTTACAGTTATTGAAGTCTGAAAAAAGCATGTCTGCGATGTTACTGTTATGCGATATTTTATACTTTATTTTTTACCAGGATATTTTTGACGACGATGTTTTTAAACTGCGAAGTTTTTGAACCTCTTTATTTTCGACGACGATGTTTTGTACCACGATGTTTTAGAACTGCGATGTTTTCTCCCACGATGTTTTGTAGCCGACGTTTTCGTCCCTGATGTTTTTACCGCGATGTTTTCGGCTGTATCCATGATCAGCTATTGAATAACGCGTAGCGCGACTTTTGGCCTGCAAAACAGCTGCAGCTCCCCTTGGCATAAATACCACAAGTTCTTGGAAGATGACCGGAGATCAAATGTACCGCTGCTTAGACATTTGGTGGACATTTGGTGGACATGTTGTACCAAATGTCTAAGCAGCGGTCACGAAAAGTCGAGATATTCCGACATGGTGGTGTTTCAGCTCTGAGCTGCCGCTCCGTGACATCCCAAATGTGCTATAAGGTCCAGCGAGTTAGGTGCCCAGGTCATTAATTGGAATTCATCTTTTGCTCCTTGAACCACTCCAACACAATTCGAGTCTTGTGACATGGGGCGTTGTCTTGCCATTTCCAGTTGGGAAGACAGACGCTATATAAGGGTGCAAGTGATCCGCAGTTATATTCAATGAGAAATCTGGGTACATCCGACCAGGCAACTAACTGTCCTCCACTCAGTCACGGTCCAGTCTCGGTGTTCTCGTCCCCACTGTAGGTATAGTGTAGCCTCCACTGTAGACACTGGCAATCTTTTTTGCTGTTGTTATGAGAAGTAACCTCAATAAATTTGTTTGATTTATTCAGTCCTTTTTTGTCTTCTGCTTCGTGTTCACCTTCATCTGAAAGTATTCTCTTTATTTTGAGCAACTTCAGTAAGTCGCATGATTCATTATCATTTAGCAAGCTTTCGTTAGTTTTCTGTTTTTCTAATTCATTAATTTCCTGCTCGATGAATTTCATAAGTCGATCCATAGTGTCAGAAAACTTAACCAAATCCAACCCAGATTTAATTACCTTGTCTCAACGTAGCAGTGGCAATTCTCATTATAACACCATACGTCACGTGGCTGCTTCCGCCGCATTGCAAAAGCGTTGACTCCAGCAAGTATATACTTTTCTCCTCGTTTCAAATAAAAATTAAATCAATGTTGCCATTCAATAAAACAAAACTTTGCTTTTTTAATAGAATTTAAGAGAAGATTAAATATGATGAAGATGATAATTTCTGTATTGCTACAGAATTTTAATTTTATTATTATATTTATTTTTAATGCAAGCAATATCATATAGGTAGCAAAGTTGGACAAAATTTCTGCAGCGAAGGAACATAATTTACGATGTAAAAATATATATTGTTGCTGGCGTACGGGTTCGTAATAAATTATAATAGCACAAGTCCGATGAAAAGTGAATAAAATTTATTCTTATCACAACAAATAAAACAAACTGCTGAAATTTTCTCTGAGATATTCATACAATATCACAATATCTCAATGTAGTTATATTTTAAACTACTATAATATAAATAGACTCAAATTCAAAAACACAGTGAAAGCTAATGCGATCTCACCGCAAATTCGCTACAATCAATAACAGCAATAAGTTAGCAACTGAATTGAGATGTTTTCCTCCCGCTTTTATAAACTTTTTAATCAGCACGAGAAAATTCTGGTATTTTCTCGATTTTTCTGGAAAGCAAAACAGTACAATTACGAGATATCTATTTATTACAATGTTAAATGCGCGTGCTCCTGTATTTTAATTTTTCCGGTGTAGCTTTCTCTTCAGATATGTTTCGTGGTGCATTGCACGGGAATATAAAAACTATTTTAATTACAAATTCTACTAAAAATAGCTAAATAAATACAAAAACCGTAATGATATTAATAATTTTACAAATAATTATAATTTACGTTAATGTAATTAAAATTATTAATTTACGTTAATGTAGTTAAAATTTGCCATCAGATAGCATCAAAATATTGTTAAGAAGTATTTATTATTTTAAATGAATTAATTGATTCTATTTATGTGCAATGTTCCTTTATAGATAGGAAGCAGTTTCTTATTTTGTCGGGAAAGAAAGGAACAGAACTTTGTCTACGCATAGAAACAGTACTTTCGGATTTCACAAATCTGCTTTCAAGGACTGGTAAAAAATATCACAGAAAATACAGAAAAAAATGGCAACATAAAACTCAAGCCAATGCATTAATAGAAATTTAGACATTTTTTTGTTTCATACTACTGTAATAAAACTCTTTTTAAGTATCCTTTTCTGTCGCCAAAAATTTTATAAGTTTTGATATTTCTTTAACTTATTACAATAATTTTACACTTACCAAATATTTTTACACGGTTTATCTGAAAACATATAAAGATAAGACAATACAGACAAAGAAAAAAACGAAAACGCTTCGACGCGTTCTTTTTATAATATAAACGTTCATTTTCCTTGCTTAACGTGACGTCTGTTGCATTTCATCTGTTATTTATTAAAAATTTTCACATTGTTCTATGTCTTAAAATTAGAAAATAAAGTTAAAGACCTGAAACTGCAATAGTATATTATAGTACAAGTGAAAAAAATTGACAGTTTCACTCACGCGTGCGTCGGATTTGCGCAATACTTATGGGGTCCCACAAAATTTTTGTAAATATTCGGTCTACCGGAAAGTTCTGTCCGTTTTTGGAATAACACAAAATACAAATTTTTCTGACTGTCAATAAGTTTTATTAAATAATATAATTGCCATTATTATTAATGACTTCTTGATAGCGTGAGGGCAATTTGTATATCCCATTTTTGAAAAATGTTGTATCTTTTGAGCCAATGCTTATTTGATATCTTCTTCTTTTTTGAATGTTTTGCCCTTCAAAAAATTTTGTAAGGACAAAAACAAGTAATTGTCGGAGGGTGCTAAGTCCAGGGAATATGGTGGATGAAACAAAATTTCCCAGCCTAGTTCTGCAATTTTTGACGAGTTCCCTGTGGTCTGCCATTATTATGATGCAGCGTAGTGTCCTTCCTATTGAACGTTGCCGGCCTCTTTTCTTGGACTGCTGTCTTTAAATTATCCAATTGCTGACAATACTTCTCCGAATTGAGCTTTTCGTTCTGTTTTAAAACTCTTAATGTATTGGCCCTCGAATGTCCAACCATATACACAACATTCTCTTATTCAGAGTCAAATTTGGGTTAGAGGCGGAAGACCTAAAAGTTTTCTGGACTCATAATATGCCCTTCTCCTTATTTCACTTTTCATCCCTAGCTATCATTCAGTTCAAGAAGGACTCCTTTTTGTTCCGATCAAGCAGAGATGTGCAAATGACGATTCAGTCATCCAAATTCCTCTGAATTAATTCAGGTGGCACTCATCTTGAATATTTCCACACCAATCCAATCTTCCGAATATGGCTCGAAATGGTTTGCTGAGCTAAATCAAGCCTTTCTGCGATCTCCGATGTTGTCGGAAAAGGATTTCTCTCCAATATGGTCTTAACAACATCGTCGTCGATCAAAGATGGTCGCCCAGATCGTGGCTTATCAGAAAGGTCGAAATCACCTCTTTCAAATTTTTCGAACAGTCCTCTGCATGTTCTATCAGAAACTGCACCTTCACCAAACACTTTCAATAAATTTATATATGCTTCTGTAGCATTTCTTCCTTGTTGAAATTCATATAAAATATAGTGGTGTAAATGAATTTTATCAGTAGCCATGGGTACACTATCGCTTCACACTTAAGACTAACTTGAATGAACTTTTTTTAGTTAATTTGCTACGTCAGTATATATACATTAAGCGATAAAAATAGAGAGCCGAACATGTGTCAAATAAACATGTGCTTACGTGTCGAAATTTGTTGTCATAAAAACGGACATAACTTTTCGTTTATGGAGTCCTGGGGAATCGCGAAAACATCTCAGTGCTAAAAGGGGTCGCGATTGAAAAAAGTTCAAGAAACCCTGGTTTAGAAGATGACAAGATGAAAATCCACATGAAGAAATCATTCAGGAAAAAAAAAAAAAAAAAAAAATACCCTTACAGAAGCCTTATTGTTATAAATGTCCATAGAAATAATACCCTCAAAAAAGCTGGTAGCATTGGGAGAGAGAATTTCACGGAAAGGTTACACAAGAATAAAAGCCATTAGAATCTGTGCTCTTTCAGAATTCAAAGGTTCTGGAGAAGGAATCTAAACAAACACTTCATAAAGATGATGGCTCCGAAAGCTCTGCAAACAATAACTGCGAAACTTTTGCAAACAAGATTTCACAGGATTAACAAACACTTCATAAAGATGATGGCTCCGAAAGCTCTGCAAACAATAACTGCGAAACTTTTGCAAACAAGATTTCACAGGATTAACAAACACTTCATAAAGATGATGGCTCCGAAAGCTCTGCAAACAATAACTGCGAAACTTTTGCAAACAAGATTTCACAGGATTAACAAACACTTCATAAAGATGATGGCTCCGAAAGCTCTGCAAACAATAACTGCGAAACTTTTGCAAACAAGATTTCACAGGATTAACTTAAAACTTCTTTGCTTCTTCCTTTAGTCTTATGAAATCTGCCAAACTCTGACAGGAAAATATCTTCATTTTGCCATTTTTTTCTTTAAAGCATAGAATATTAACCTTCTAATCTTACTCTCAGCTCTCAGCATCGTTGCAGTTTCATCTGAATACTTTTACCTACTGCTTATTCGTATTGCAGCTACTGAAAATTACGGTCTTCGCTCAAGTTAACCAACTTTGTTCAAAAAGCCGATTTTTGTATAAAAATCTCATTTTTTTAGTCCAAAGGTGAATCTGCCCTGAAGGACTATTAATTTCGTTTTGGCATTTTGCGTCCAAAATTAAGGCTGTATCACTTTTCAAATCGTTGCCACCATATATTATCGCTCTGTCTTATATTTAAAAAAAATAAATAATGAAGAATCTACATAAATGTATATATGTTTCTCGCATTGTGATAAAACAACGGTACCTAGAGCCATCAAAATTTGAATAACGTAATCTTCCATAGAATAGGGTATGTGGAAGCCGTAATTTGAATTTGAATTTTGGTTTTATTATCGATTTCACATTTTGTAACACTTCAACAAATTTTTGATTAAAAAACTAAATGATTTCAAAGCGAACAATGGCAACACTATACGAAAAAAAAAAAAAAAAAAAAAAAAAAACATTTTTATCTCTAGCGCGTGAGATTGCGTATCAGAAATTCTAAATGATATGATCAATTTAAAGCTATTTTGCGATATTGCGCTTGAACTGAATTTTATGGTTTAAGGGCGAAGCGATGAACGTGATATTTAATAAATAAAGGTAACAAACAAAATGTTAAAAAAAACGCCCCTTTGAACGTAATTTAAAATCTGAAACCTTTCAGTTTTTATAAATTAATTTTTTTAAATTTTACATTTTTAACCCCTTGAGGACCAGCGCGCCGGAAATAAAACTCAGTCACGGGAACGAACGCTCTGAAACGGAGCGTCACTACCGGCCCGCGCATTTTAAGCAGTTAAGCCTAAGTTTACAAAAAAATTCGTATAAAATCAGCATTTTAATAAAAAGACTCCAAATTTATAAATTATATATATACTATACTTCTATTTAATATGTATTAAATAAAAAAATATAACGTTAATACAAATGAAATGAAATATGCAAAAAAAACTAAAATTATTACTATGCACATGAAAACAAATACTATACACAATAAAACAAAGCTGCAAAATATTACAAACACAAAATAAAAAAAGAGGAAATTAAGAATAATAATATATTCTGAATAAAATCGAAATTTAAAAATTCTCTTGTGTATG